ACCCAAAGGGAGCACCGTTAGAGAACAGACCTGTATTCTCACACGGAGCCCTGAGTTCCAGGGTCCAAGCAGCCATCAGCCGGTGAGCTGTGTTTTCTGGGACATGTGACATGAAAGCTATTTTCATCCAACTTGGACCCAAACCAGAGGTTCTAAACCACCAAAGCCTTGATATAACTGTCAAGTTATTTAGGCCAGCTCGATTTATTCGTCTTTTTTTCCTCCTTCCAGTCATCCTTAATTGTTTCTATTCTGGTTCCTGGATCATATAATTTATAATTTTTCCAAGGTTAAAGCAATCATCTTTGCCCCTTTACAACTTCTCAACGTATTTATTGACCCAGGTTCTGAGATCTCACTTCTGTCACCACTAATACCTACCTCCTGAGGCTGCTCAAAACCCCAGAACAGGCCCTGTCCTGCTTCACTGCTGCGCCAAAGCTGGGGCAGATGAGACCCAAAGGACACAGGTGTTCACTCCCCAGTCTCCCTCGCAACAAAGCTCTTTCAGAAGCTACTGGCTGGCATTGGAGGGGTGACAGGATTCTCCACTGCAGGTGTGGGATCACTGCACAGAGAAATGAAGAGGGCTGAGGGTGTCTCTAGGAGCTCCATCCTCAGAGCTTCAGGTGTTGGAACAGCAGCTTCCCAGCTGGACGTGGGCTGGCTGGGGCCTTGGGACACAGAGATCCAGAAGCCTCAAGACTCTGCAAACTCACAAGCACCTTTGCCTACAAGGAAGATCAAGGCCGGACCCTGAACCCTCAGACCATTTACCCTGTGCTGCCAAGACTCCTCGCCCTCCTGCCCTTGTCCTGTCAGAAGCGGCTTTGCTGCAGAAGCCACAGCCAGGTGGGTGCATCTGTCACACAATCCCCTACCTTCCTGGTCAGGTCCCCTTCTATCCCTTTCCATGTCTCCTATGCCCAGGACCCTCTCTCTGATCATCTCCCACAGCGACTGCTCCTGCCTCCACACACAGGGTGGGCTGCGCTGGCTCAGAGGATCGGGGACCTGGCCACCCCACAGCCCTCCCCAGCTGCTGCTCACTGAACTGTGCTCTTCCCTCTCCTCCTCCTGCCTCCCCACACATGCACCCTTGCTCTGCACTTGCACAGGACGTCTCCATGGACACCAGCCTATTTGCAGAGAAGATGAAGAAGGGCATGCTTCAGGACAGTGGAGACAAGTGGGCAATGGCTGAAGACAGGCCAGGCCAGGAGGGAATCAGTCCCACCTTCGTCCTCCAGGAAACCTCACTGTGATGCGGACCTGGGCTGCAGGCCGTGTCCTCACTGCCAGACACTCACTTGACCCCAAGACCCCTGTCTTTCTAAGGCCAAAGCCCATCCCTTGACTGCCCTGGGGAGAGGGTAGAACTGTCATGGTACAGGGTCAAAGGGCTGGGGCGGGCACCTTTTTGGATTTCACACATCTAAGTGTAGGTGTTGAAAATGTTAGGCCTAGAACCCCTTTACATTCTGTAAAAGCAGAGCTCTAAAAAGGTCTTGTTTCTGTGGGTTGTATCATTTATCATTACTGCATAAATAAATAAATAAAATAGAATTGGTTTTATTTTTGAGACAGGATCTCACTATATAGTTCAGGGTAGCTTTAAACTTACTAAGGAGCCCAGGCTGGCCTTGAACTTGCAGTGATTCTCCTGCCTCAGCCTCCTGAATGCTGGGATTACAGGTATGTGAACCACACCTGGCTTGAAATACAG